ATCGCCCCCACAGTCTGGGTCCTCGGAAGGATGGAAGGCTGAGTCAACCTTGAGCCGGTGAGATTTGAACCGCCGAACTGCAGATAACAGTCAGCTGAAGTGGCTGCAGTACAGCACTTTAACCACTGTGCCACCTTGGCTCTAGCCTCCCTTCCTTAACCCCCGATCTCACCTGTGGCCAGGTAGACCGGCCCCTCTCCCTTCTCCGCGCACACCTAGCGATGCAAAATCCTGTAGGGTCTTCAGGCTGGGCGGCCCCATCCCTGCGTCCTTTCAGTCCTTCCTTCCAACACCAAAACAAGGACTTTCCTCACGGGTGCAAATCCCCTCCCTTCGCTCCCTCCTTGCCAGCCCTTTGAGGTAGGCCAGGTCTCTCACCACCATACCTGAAGGATCATTCAGGTGCGCCCCCCCAAGAAGGGCGCAGCCATGTCCTTGCAGCAGCGTTCAAGACCCACTCGGGAGCCTCGCCCGATATTGCAACCTACCCTCCTTGTGCTCTCTTGCAGCTGTTTGTCGTCCGGGCTGCCACAAGACGCACGGCTTTTGCGAGGTACCTGGGGAGTGCAGGTGAGAAGCAAGCAGGGGGGGAGGGGGTTTTGACCCTTGGGCCTCCCCTCAAGCCCTCGCTTAGCCAGCAACGATGAAACTGGGGGCCAGCAAGTTCCCAAATCTTGGTCTGATGCTGGTTTAGTTGGTCGTACTCCTGCCGCACAATCCGGCGAGAAAAACATGCGTTTCCTTCGTGGAAAGGGAGTGCAAGGAAGATGGGGGGGGGGCGCCCATGATGTTGTGAGGTGGGGGCTGAGCTCTTCGAGATTGTCCAGACAAGAAGCACCATTAGGGGGGCCAAGTCCATCTTTCCTGTGAGGTCACATTAGCAGCTGAATCTTGCCGTCCGAATGGGCTTATTGGAAACGTTTTTTCACATTACTTTCTCGGCTGGGGCACAACGCCCTGTTCTCCGACTGCTGTCTTTGGTAGCAAGCCTTCTTCCTGTCCTTCAAGGACGTTCCTTATGCCAGGGGTGTCCAAACTTGGGAACTTTTGTGGACTTCAAATCCCAGAATTCCCCAGCCAGCTGGGGAAGTTGACAAGTCTTAAAGTTCCCAGGTTCGGCCACCCCTGCCTTATGCCCTCGACCTCGTCAACCTTGGCAACTTTAAGACTTCAACTCCCAGAATCCCCCAGCTGGAGAGAGGTTGCTCGGAGGACTGGGGGCGGGGGACATACGCAGTTTTGCGTGCTGCCTGCATCCCACGGATGGGGTTTCGCTGGTTTGCGCTGACCAATTTCGGGCATGCCACAGGCTGGTGCCAGTGCCACGGACCAGGGGTTGGGGATCCTGTTTTACAGGATCAGATTGGGGCTCCCCCCCTCCTCAATTTCAAGGCCATT